GAAAAGCACAGCGCAGCCAAGCCCCAGTCACCCCCAAAAGCCCAGGACCCAGGGAGGCATAGACAGTGGCCAGGAAGCAACCCTTCAGGAGCCTGGTGGTCCAGGTTCTAGATGGGCAGTGAGCACACGGTCCCACCGAGAGGCCCCAGGGACCCCAGTCTGCTGACCCCATCCCTGCACCTCACAACCCCTCCAGGACCCACAAAAAACTGGCTGCCACCACAGGCCTTCATGTTCCTCCCAGGTGCAGAGCATTGGTGGCTGTGAAGAGCAGCCTGTCAGGTCACTGCTGCCACCTGGACACTTCCAGTCTGGGACCCTCAGGTCTGACAGCATCCCAGGCTAGTTGTCCCCAACCCCAGAAGAAAACACTTTACAGGTAGGACTGGGCCTCCACATCCCTTATTTTCTGCCCCCAAACATCCTCAAGACTGTTGCGGTCAGTCATTCTCTCTGCTGGCCAGGGGGCCGGCACTTTCTTTCATGTTTATAATGTTTGAATAGTCTGGAGCTGTGCCACCTCCTCCAGGGAGCCTTCCTAGATGCTGTAACCAAAATAAATGGGTCCTTCTGCTGCTGCCTCTCATAGGATTATAATTTGTCTGCTTTTATGTCTGGGTCCCCATTAGCCAATGAACCCATCCAGGGCAAGGACCCTGCTTACTCATTCCTCAATCCCCCTCTTACCTCTGTCCTGACAATGACACACACAGGGCCCTCCAGAAGAGCCAGTGCGAAGCAAGATAAAGTGTCCACACCGTAGCCCAGTGTCAGGCATGAATAAACCACAGCACACAGAACCCTCCCAGCATCTGTCCCAGGTGCCCTCGGTTGAGCAACTCTATGGGATGACAGGAGAAGTGGAAAGGGGTTATGGTTGCTGCAGGTTCCAGTTGGAAACAAGGATTGAGCCACCCGTGTAGATACCAAACCTCTCACCTCAGTGGGAAAGATGCCAAATGGCTGCAAGTCTCTGTCCACACAGAGGCGTTATGTTCAGAAGTCTTGTTTGGCCATGAGAGCCAAGCTCAGGGACAGGTCTCATTCCTCCCTGAACCTGCAGCCCAGCCCAGGCCTGGCACAGAGCTGGCCCCTGTACCGACCAGGGAAGGAGGAATCGAGCTGTAGTTTTAAAGTGGCCTGGCTTCAAACTCCTCCAGCCCCATATCACAGAGCACCAATGCCAGAGCTGGAAGGAGCTCTGCGCTTACTCGTTCCAGCCTCCAAGATGCACCCAGGGGGCCACCGAGGCCTGAGGAGAAGTCACACAGCCATGTCTCCCAACTGCCAGCCCAGTATCGTTCGGATAGCAGACTGCCCCATCCCCACTCCACACCCCCTCACCCTGCCCTTCATTCGAGGTCACGCCAAAGCCTACCTGCCCAGCAGGTCTTCTGGGGTCCACTCCCCAGCCCCGTGTGGCAGAGAGGTGCTTCCCCCTCTGTCCCACTGTCACTCGCTTGCTCATGCTCTTTCTCTGCCCAGGATGCCCTTCCCCCCCTCTGGCCACAGCAAACTTTTACCCATCCTTCAAGGCCCAGTTCAGATGTCACCTTCTCTGACACCAGATAAAATTATCACTCCCATTTACTGCGTACCCATCCCCACTGTGTTCTGGAAAACCAACAAGTGAATGTTAACACTAGTAGTGGGGTCTCCCCTCTGGTCATCCAAGTTCCTCAAGGACAGACACCTGAATCTGTGCAAGGCAGGGGTGAAGACATCTGCACACACACCTGGGGAGACTGAAGAGGCAAAAGGGATTTGTAAACTATAAAGTCCTATGCTGATAGAAGCTACCTGTATTATATCCATATCTCCTCCCTGTGACTCAGTTTCCTCATCTACAAAATGGATGAAGTTAATGAATGCACATGACAGTGTGTGGGTTATGCCTGGGCCCTGGGAAGGACTCATTACTGTTGCTGTTATTAGTGTTACTTTCGTTTTCTTTTTCTTCCTTTCTTTTTTTATTTCTTTTTGGCAGCTGGCCAGCTGGCCAGATCCGAACCCTTGACCTTGGTGTTATAACATGCGCTGTAACCAACTGAGCAACCGATCAGCGCTGCTTTCACTTTCCTATAATCCCCCTGTGGACCTTGTCCATGACCAGCACTCAGTACAATTTTTTTAATGAATGACTTCAGCATTTGAGATGTTAAAGAAAATGGGGTTAAAATCCAAAGACCGTATGAAGATGCAGAGTTAAAGCTTATCAGAAATGCTACGCCGTGGCCTTGGAGTCTGAAGTTGAGCTCAGCTGGGTCACTGTGACACAGCCCCTTGTGCTCATGGGACACAGGGCAGTTTCCTAGAGTGGGATGGGAGTGAGGAAATCTCCTCCTGGGGAGGCCTCTGTGCTGGGCTGTGTGTGCTGGCAGCCCCAGGGACAGCAGTCAGGGAGTACCACCCCCAGGGCCTGGCCGGGGAGCCGTCCAGATGCTGGACTTCAGGACCAGGCTCTGGAGACAGCCAGGGCACAAGCACTGGCCTGGAGGGAAGCAGTGGCCCAGCCCAAGGCTTGGCCCAGTCAGGTCCATTTCTGCCCCTCATTGAGGGCAGGGGGACTGAGGCAAGCCACTTCCTGGAGCTTCAGTTACACATCAGCTGCAGAACAAGCCTCCGGAAGACCTGATCCCCCTTCTGAACAAGTCACACAGAATCAATTTCCATCTGTCAGGGAGCATCAAGTGCGGCCTCTCCTTAGACAAATGAGAAGAGTAAAGATGGGGAGTGACTTGCCCAAGGTCACACAGCTAATGAGGACACTTACTTAGAGGCCACCAAAAGTCAGCAACATCATCTGAAAAATGCCCAGACCCAGGCCCACCGAATAGCCCCACCTCCCCCATCCGCCAGCCACACCGACCAGAGCACAACTTGCCATCACACTCAGTGCACTGCATGGCCACGTGATCATGCTCCGTGGGGTGCTGGTCCTTTATGGCCCTGTTCCCTACAGCATATAGCAGTCAGTGACGACTTGTCAATGGGGTGTTGAGCTGGTTCCATGACGAGGTAGGTTTTCAGGGTGCAAAGTGGGTAGACAGTTATGTATTATCGGTGATGACCATCCACTCGGCCTTAGTTTAGGGCCCCAGCATACATTGACTGAGCATCTCCTCCGGGCCTCACTCCAGGAGGGCAATCAGACGAGTGGCAGCCCCAGCCCTGTCACTGAGGAGCTCACAGTCTACCTGGATGGTGACTTTAGAAGGAATTCACCATGTAATTCAGTCAAGCTGCCAGTCTGTACCAGCGCTTTCTGTCTTTCCATCTGCATGGACACTGCCTCCTTAGATGAGTCCTTATATCATTTGGGGTTTCCAACCATGACTTGTGGCCACAGCACAACTCTGGCCAGCAGGTTGACCAAGGGCTCCTGTAGCACAGAACTGCGCAGCCAGGGCAGGCCGGCAGCACAGGCTCACCCTGAAATCTGGGGAAGGTCCTAGCCTTCTCCCACTGACCCTACAACGTGGGTTTCTCAAAGTCTGCTCTGTGGAACCCTTGCATCAGAGCACTTGGGGCATTTGGTAAAGATGTAGATCCTGGCTCCTTCCCACAAGAAGCAGACTGCACCTCTGCTCAGGCGATTCTAGTACATGTTCAACTTTGAGAACCAACCACAGCCTAGACCACGCCTCTCAGTAGGGGCCCTATTACCTCCAATAGGTACAAACTAATTCTTAAGAAGGCAAAAAAAAAATTACTTTTTATATATAAAGCACAGATATACATACATATTAACAGATATATTAACAGATATTCAATATATCTGTGGTATTAAAATTTCATGGGTGGGAATGATTAGGGGAAAGACATGTCTAAAACAGCTCCTTAGCGGGGTGACAATAAAAAAACGGTTGAGAAGCACTGGTCTGGATAGAGGCAGCCATGACACTGGCAGGAAGACCCCTCTTAAGGATGGGAAGACAGTGAGGAATGTTCCCAGCCCTGCCAGTGAAGAAGGACCCTCTTTCCCACCCCCTCCCTGTCTGACTCTCCTCATTCTCAAAGCTGAAGGGCAGAGGGGCAAGTGGGTCCTTCCTTGGGACACATCCACTCATACCTGATGTCCCCGGCAAAGTGGAGACATAGAAAGAGCCACACACCAGGGCCCTGAGGCTGCTGTGCGAGCTCACAAGGGCCTGACATGACACACAGAGGGGAACGAGAGCCAGCACCAGGCAAGAGTGAGAAATTCAGAAGCCACCCACAGCTTTCTGGTTTGCAGTACGGAGCCAACTGGCAGGGGCGCTCCCAGCATCTGAGACGGGGGAGAGGGTCCTAAGAAAGGGCCATGCAGAGTGGCAGGGAAGAGCAGGCTGGCTTTCGGAGGAGAGACAGGTAGGAGAAAAGGAAGGACGTAACATAACAGTGACTGACTGAGCCTTGACCACACACCAGGCACGTGCCAGCCACCCGACGCGGGGCCTGGTGAGGCAGGTCACATTATTGTCACCAGCATGTCAGCTCCATGAGAGCAGGGACCATGTCTGCCTCAGGCACTATCGTAGCCCCGGCACCTAGAACAGTAAATTTGTGCAAAATTAATTAATTCCCATTTTATGCATAAGGGAAAGAACCACAGAGAGGTTAGCTCATCTAAACCCTCACGGCTAGCGAGCAGCACAGCCATGACCCAAACCTCAGCAGTCAGAGCCCAGAGGCTGCTGGACTTTCTCACCCTTGCTTTTGTCTAGCTCAGAGCTCCCAGCCAGGTAGCTTGTGGTCCAGGTGGGCCCATGGACGGTGAGGGGATGAACGAAATGAAGGCACCATCCCAACCTAGCCACTTCACACCCGGCACAGAGTGGACCTGGTGGCCGGTGGGGCATGCGGGGCATGCAGAGCTCTCTCTGGAAGGCAGCACAGCCCCTGACTTGGCCCAGACTGCACAATATGCCTGTAGGAATCCCAAACACAGCGGAGCCAGGGAAGACCATGGGAGCCAAGGACTAGGGGAGGGGGAGCTTAATGAGAGTCTGGTCCCTTACCAATCCGTCACAGTTGCTGATGGCAACAGCTGCCCCAGGCATTCCGGTGACACTTCCAGTGTACATACACTCCTGCCGCAAGGGCTGCCGGAACAGCTCCCGAAAATCCTCCTGCCACTCCACCGAGGCTCCTGGCACCACCAACCTCTGGTTGGGCCGCAGGCGCAAGTGCAGTTCCTTTCCGAAAACAGTCACGTTGAAGTAGACAGAGTAGTGCCCCGGCCTGCCAGGCCATAGGGTCCCTCCTTCTGGCTGCAGGGCACTGCGAGCCACCCGGAGGTGATGGGGCTGTGATGGTAGTCTGGGTGGCTTGTCCACTACCACGATCCCTGAGGGGGCTGCTGCTGGTCCAGATACCACATGGGAGAGGAAGTGTCCACGAAAGTCTGTGCTGCAGGGGACTGTCACATCATAGTCACTGAGCTTTCCAGAGAGGCGCAGCTCTGTTGGAGGTAAACAAAGAGTCCTCCAATGTAGTGTGCACAGAAGTGAGGGGAGCTGGAAATCCCAGAGGCAGGGAGGAAGCGGCAACCCTGACTGTCAGATGGGCCCTTAGCCCCAGTTCATCCATTTCTCATCCATTGCTTCCTAAGCTCCTGAGTTCCCACACTTGGATGAAAGGTGTTCGGGTACTTTGTGGACATAAATTGCTCCCTGTAGCCTCCAGGTCTTTTTTAAACTCAGCAGGAGAAAACAAATGATGCCCAAGTCCTGTCACTAGCAACGAGCCCTCCAACCTTGGGCACTGCCTAGGAAAGGACTGAAATTCCCCAAAATCCCCCAGGGCAGAGGGAAGGCCAGATTTGCCCAAACTCCCCAACAGGGCTGAAGTCACCGGTCCAGGCTGGGGTAGGGCCCTCCTCACCAAGCTCCCAAGAAGGCAGCTGGCAAAACACACCTAGAAACCCAGGGGATCGTGGGCACTTAAGGAGACAGGTGGGGCTGGAGAGAGGAGGGATGAAATACTTCTATTTATCCAAGGTTAGAAAGAAAACTTTTTTAAGCAGCTGACTGGGGAGATTTCTGCACCGCCCAGCCTCAAGCTGGATAAATATAGATCTTCAAAAATAAAAGGAGACACAGCGGGTGACCTGCTCACTTGGGTTGAGCTAAGTGTGAGGTCATGGCCCCACGCTCCAGGCCACATGCCAGCTGCCCCATCCTCACACAGCTCTCCCTGAGCCCAGCCCAGCTGGGCAGGAATGACAGCTCCCTGGCTTCCATGCCTGGTGATTCATGGATATGAGTTCGAGAGGAATTTTCATTTCCACACAGCTCTATCTCTTGCCTCCCTAAAATATAGAAAATAATGTTCCCTGAAAATCCTCCATGCCCAAGGCAGTTAGTTATATAGGAGGGGGAGTGCTAACTCTTCTTTAGTTTTACCCATTATAGCAGAGGACATCCAAGACTGCTGCATGAGGGGTCCTACTTTAGCAAATGAACGGGGCTCACTGATAAGCAGGCACCCTGCCTGGAAATGACCAGCGTCTCCTCCCCGTGAGCAGAACCACCAGGAGGGTACCCCACGCTGCAAGATGAGGGTAGAGGGTGACTGCAGAGTTTGAGAATGTTATGCTGTGGGGAGACCAAGGATGTGAGTGTGTTTCTGTGCAGGAGTGAGTGCCCAGTGTTCACTGCGGTGGGAGCCAATCACCTGCCAGCCTGATTGTGTCACATGCACACACACTTGCACACATACCGCACACAAGTTGGAGACAGAGAAGACTCTGAAAGAGAAAGACACACAGGACAGAAAATCAGAGAGAAAAACACAGAGAGACAAAGAGACACAGGCCCTAAGAAAAGACCTGATGTTCCCAAATCTCCCAGGGTCTCTCTCTACCTCTCGTGCCAGAAAGAGAGAAATCGCAGGACAGCGCAGGTGGCAAACGGGGAAGAAAAGAGCATCTCAGCCCCGAATGTGTGCGTGGTCTCCCCCCTGCTCGAATCCTGCCCCGGGGGCTTGGGCACCCTCGGGCCGCCCCGACCGCGTGCACGCACAGGCCCCCGCGCGCCCACCCGCACGCACCTGGGGTCCGTCTGCCCGCGGCGGCGCAGAGCGCGCAGTGCCAGGGCAGCAGGCAGGACAGCAGCGCGCACAGTAGAGCCATGTGGCCGCGCGGGGAC